CCAGCAGTTTTAAACTTCTCAGATTTTTCTGCTCTGGGTAAGTCAAACTAATTTTCTATCTGTATAGTGGAAGTAATAATGATTTGCTTTATAGATATGTCGGTAGGATAACAGAAATTAGGTCTGCAAAGTATCTTGAAAGGTGAAGCATTAATAACTGTGTCCTAAAACCAGATAGCTCTGATTTAACTATTATTTGAGCAAAGGCTGAAAAATATATTCTCAGATATATACATGCAAGCACCTAAATGTATGGTGAGTAAACTGACTCTCAGACCAGTTCCTTTATTCACTTGGTGGATTTAACTACTCGTTTCAGTGGCATCATAAAAAGTGTTGTAGTCCTGAAGTGTGGCCTTATGGGATCCGATCCCTGGTTCAGTTAGAGCAGCATTTAGCCTCTGGTGGACTTAATACTGGGAGTTTCAGAGGAACTGGCAGGCGCTTACTGTATGTGTGATCAATCTATCCCATGTAATTTTGATACCATATCCAGCTCCTCAGAACCAAGAGAAGTGATCTGGTACAGTTCCCAGCTTATGCCAATATTTGTTTTACTGACAAAATGGCTGGAAAAAAATGTGCCAGAGTGTTTTCATCTTGCCCTTTCAATAGGATCTTTAATTCCAGTGGCTTCCACGCAAAAGATTATCTAAGATCCCAATGAATCCATTTTTCACTTAATGTTCTAAATCTCATTGTCTTCCAGGGCCTCTTCAATGGTCTCCCCATTTGCAATTTCTTCTTCGCTGCTGTCGGAAATGCTTGCTCTGAGATTGTGCTTTATTGTAGGGCTTCGTTCCACATTACAGCATGTTCTCATCTTGGCCACTTGCTTCTTCGAAGGTTGCGTCCCCTCAAGGGAGAAAGAGTTATTGCTCAAATGCTGTTTGTTTGGACATTTCCTCAGGTGTTTGATGTTCTTTCCAAGAAAGCAGGGCATACAGACAAAGGGGTATGCTAGTAAGAAACGGGACCACTGCTTGCGTAATTCAGCCTTTACCTGGAAAAAAAGGGAAAAGAAGTTGACAGTTGGGACTATAGTGGCCTTTCCCAACTGGGTACCTTCTAAATGTGCTGGAGTTCAGCTACCATAGTTCTAAAATAGCATGGCAATTGGCTGATTACTGAATGACTGATTTCTGTCTCTCTACATCTAAATGTAAGTACATCCACCAAATTATATAGTCCCATATTCATCT